CCCAAGAGTTGGAGGTTGCTATGAGCTGTGATGCCACAGCACTCCACCCAGGGTGACAGCTTGAGGCTCTGTCTCAAAAAAAAAAAAAAAAAAAATTAGAAAAATACATGAAAAGCTAAAAAAGTTTCTGAATTCATTATCAATTGAAATTCTTTCAGGGGTAGAAGAAAGCTTTTCAAAAAGTATAAAATAAGCAAGTGTGGTGGCTTATGCCTGTAGTCCCAGAACTCTGGGAGGGTGAGGCAGGTCGATTGCCTCAGCTCAAGAGTTTGAGACCAGCCTGAGCAAGAATGAAACCCCTTCTCGACTAAAACTAGGGGGAAAAACCCAGCCAGGCAGTGTAGTGGGCACTGTAGTCCCAGCTACTTGGGAGGCTGAGGCAAGAGAATCACTTAAGCCCAAGAGTTGCTGTGAGCTGTGATGACTCTATGGCACTCTACACAAGGCCAGAGTAAGACTCTGCCTCGAAAAAAAAAAAAAAAAAAGGATAAAATAGCACATAAAAATACCAAATTTTACATTTGTCTGTAAACGAGATTTTCTCTAGTGCCTTCTCTTCTTTCCCTTTGCATTATAAATTGAAGCATCCTCTGACTTCTATTTCTGCATTTTCTCTGATAACTTATCTGGCCTCCTGCACCAACCATGTCCTTTATATCTGGACTCAATGTTGAAGTTGTTGCTTTGCTTTTTTGTTTGTGTTTTGTTGTTGTTGTTGTTGTTGTTTTGAGACAGAGCCTCAAGCTGTCCCCTGGGTAGAGTGCTGTGGCATCACAGCTCACAGCAACTTCCAACTCTTGGGCTCAAGCGATTCTCCTGCCTCTGCCTCCCAAGTAGCTGGGACCACAGGCGCCCACCACAACTCCTGGCTATTTTTTGGTTGCAGCCATCATTGTTATTTGGTGGGCCTGGGCTAGATTCGAACCTGCCATCTTAGGTGTATGTGGCTGGCGCCTTAGCCACTTGAGCCACAGGCGCCGAGCCGTTGTTGTTGTTGTTTAAGACAGGGTCTCACTCTGTCATCCAGGCTGAATGCATGATCATAGCTCATTGTAACCTCAAACTCCTGGGCTCAAGCAATCCTCCCACCTTAGCCTCCTGGGTAGTTGGGACAATGGGCTTGCACCACTGTGCCTAGCTAATTATTTAAATGTTTTTTGAGACAGAGTCTTGTTCCGTTGCCCAGGCTAGAGTGTAATGGCATCATCATACCTCACTGCAACCTCAAACTGCTGGCCCCAAGTAATCCTCTCACCTTGGCCTCCCCCAAGTGCTAGGATTACGTGCACCAGCCACTGTGCCCAGCCTAATTTTTTTTTGTAGATATAGGGTCTTGCTGTGTTGCCCAGCTTTGTTTCCAACTCCTGGGCTTAAGCAATCCTCCCACTTCAGCCTCCTAGAGTATTGGGATTACAGGCATGAGCCATGGTGCCTAGCTTCGAAGTTGGTATTTCTTGTTTAAATGGAAACTAGCTCAAAATTTGGGCATTCTAAGTTTTCCCTTATGACAAAATATTAAGCATGCACCTCTGTCTATGTCTGTTCATAGTGGAAAGTCTAAGGCTATTTGGCAACGTGGTTAGAAAACAGTACCAACAAAGGTGATTTCCAATGTTAAAATGAACCTCCAGTAATTGATAGCTTTAAAGAAAATATCGTAACCTCTAGAATTATTGTTAATCTAGGAACAACATTTCTCTCCTGATTATAGAAACGTCTTTCTGTTATTGTTTGGCGCACAGAGGGGCTGCTGAAATGGAGAGTCTCAAGACTGCTTCAGAAATGCTGTATCCTGAGATAATAGTAGAAGTGGGCAGAGTGACTTTTGGAGAAGAAAACAGGAAGAAGATGACCAACAACTCTTTGAAAAGATCTGAGAATTCCAAACTCACCCAGGCCATATGTGCACTATTAAACTCGGGAGGGGGCGTGATCAAAGCAGAGGCTGATGATAAAACCTATAGTTACCGATGCCATGGGCTGGGGCAGGATTTGGAAACTTCTTTTCAAAAGCTCCTTCCTTCGGGTTCACAGAAATATCTTGACTACGTGCAGCAGGGGCACCATCTCCTGATTTTTGTGAAGTCTTGGAGCCTCGATGATTTTAGCCTCCCACTAAGGATCTGCAGCTTGCACTCCAATTTATATCAGAGAGATGTCACTTCCGCTATTAACTTGAGCGCCACCAGTGCCTTGGAACTTCTCAGAGAGAAGGAGTCTAGAGCCCAAAGGGGAGGTCCAAGGGTGAAGGAGCTTCATCCTCAGAAAGTTCTCTCCACCTACATTCAGGAAGAGGAAGACATGAAGGTATCTGCTTCCGAATTTTTTAAAAAGGACAGACTCAAGTATAAGGAGAAACTCAACTTTACTGAGTCAACACATGTGGAGTTCAAAAGGTTCACCACCAAAAAGGTCGTACCTCGGACCAAGGAAATGCTGCCTCATTATATTTCTGCATTTACCAACACTCAAGGGGGCTACCTAATTATTGGGGTGGATGATAAGAGCAAAGAAGTGTTTGGATGTAAGAAGGAAAAAGTGAACCCTGACTTATTGAAAAAAGAAATAGAGAACTGCATAGAAAGATTGCCTACGTTCCACTTCTGCTGTAAGAAGCCAAAGGTGAATTTCACCATCAAAATCTTGAATGTGTACCAAAAAGATGTCCTGTATGGTTATGTCTGCGTGGTTCAAGTGGAGCCCTTCTGTTGTGTAGTTTTTGCACGTGCCCCAGATTCCTGGATCGTGAGAAACAATTCTGTCACAAGGCTGACGGCTGAGGAGTGGGTGGTCATGATGCTGGATCTTCAGTCAGGTAAAGAGAGAGTGAAGTTACTGCCCAGTCACCAGGGAGGAGCCCCCTTCTCTGTCTTTTGTGGGTATTTGATCTTATATTTAGTTTAAATTTATTAATTTATTTATTTATCAATGACAGAGTCTCACTGTTGCCCTGGGTACAGTGCCCTGGTGTTATAGCTCACAGCAACCTCACATTCTTGGGCTCAAGTGATCCTTTTGCCTTGGCCTCCTGAGTAGCTAGGACCACAGCCACCCTCCACAACACCCGGCTAGGTTTTTCTATTTTTAGTAGAGACAGGGTCTTGCTCTTGCTCAGGCTGGTCTTGAACTCCTGACCTCAAGCAATGCACCCACTTTGGCCTCCCTAGAGTGGTAGGATTATAGGCATGAGCCACCACACTGGGCCTCATGTATTTAATTTAATAATAGAAATTTGTTTTTGCTTACAAACCTTCTTCCATGATAGGGTTCTTTTTCAGAGAAACATTTAAAAATGACTCTTCGCTAGTTCTTTCAAAGAAACATTGATGGCAAACATTAGGCCCTAATACCTAAATGTCTGGGCTTGGGGCACCACCCAGTGGAGAGAAAAGCATACAAAGGATATGCTGGGGCCAGGGATGGCAGGGAGGGAGGAGGACCTCTAGTGTTTTCACCTCCCTTGCAGTTTTGCTCAAAATCAGCCCTGGTGATTCTCAAAGGACTTACAGGCTGAACTAAGCTTATTAGCTCGCCTTCATGGTCAGTATGTTCCAAATGTGATAAAAGAAGCTTCAATCAACACTTGAGGGATTAGAGAATTTTATTGGCTCATTCTTTGTCTTGTTCTAAATTTGACGGAGTTCACTTCTGTCCTCATTCTCTGTCCCTCTCCCCCCATCAATCTGGAGATCCTGCTGCTTTTGATCCCAGCCAACCTTGCATGGGGACTTAACAACTATTACTATATATATATATGACTTAATCTTTGCTGATCCCCAGTAATGCCTGTCTTTCTTAGAGAGAGACTGGAATCAGAATATGAGAATTGAAAGGAATTTTAGGGACCATCACGTCTTGCATGAGAGAGAGGCGTCATGACTTGCCCAAGTTACACAGTGACTTAGAATATGCATGACATGACCCCTGCAAGAGTTCCCAGAGATCCTCTCCTGACATTTGCGAACTGTTTGAGGCACAGTACGTGTGACAGTAGCTCACGCACCTTGCACACACAGATGTCCTGTAGGTAGAGCAGCAAA